ACAGGATAGACATGTTTGATACCAGGGAAATTTTATTGAGAAATATATAGCATATTTCTAACAAAATTTAAGTGCGCCCCGTATTTTCAAGTGTTTTCGGAAATTTTTTTAAATAACAAAAAAACTAGTTTCCTTGCTATGATAATTTTATACAGAAAAACTTAAACCGATTGGTTGTAGAGGTAACTAATAATATTTTTTATGTATTTTACCTACTGCAAGTGTCATTATACCGTGTGATATTTAGTATTTTAAATTCAACTTAATTCGATTCCTTGGGGTACACCCATTTTAAAATGGCGTTTTTCTATAAAATAATTTACTTTTAGGCGCAACCATTATAAAACAATTTAAATTACTAGACAATCTTTATAAAATATTTTGTGTAGGCTAATGATACATATTGTCACAGGGTCGGAGTTTCTGAAATTTCTTTTCGCACTCGAATATTTTTAGAAAATTATTAATTTTTAAAATACTCTCAAACTTTTTTCTTTTTAAGGGCTTCAAAAATAGGCAAAAAATATTGGGTGGACCAGAAAAACATTAAAAAAACATGAAAAAAGTTTTAAGAGGTAAAAAAAGAAGCTTAAAGAGGTAAAGTGGTACTTTATCTCGAGATAAAGTACCACTTAACTTCCGCTAAACTTTATAATAACGAAAGTGCTCAACAATAAATTAGCCCTTTACTAAACAAATAACGCCGACAAATTTCATCAAAATTGAGTAAAGGATATTCAAGATATATTAAGGATAGAAAATTTTTTTTAACACCCTCTGTATCTTGAAAACTAAGCACATTTCCTAAGTTAGGAATCTTAGGAATCCTAACCCATGTTTACATTGATTTTTCATCTTAAAATCATCTAAAGAATTAGCCTGATGAAGTTTGAACATTTACTTAATTAACACCCTGTAGTTATAATTAACTCCTGAATTTACTTTTCTTGCTATAGTTTTTTTATAAAAGAGGTAACAAGTTATTAACGATTTGATCAAAAATAGAAAAAAAAAATTTAACAATAAAAATACGTAATAAGTATACTTTCTATAGCAAAAATTGTATGACACCGCGAGTGCGCGCCCTCCTCTACTGTAGGTCTTAGGTAAAAATTAACATCAAAAATGGATTCCTCGACCATATTGTTAAAATAATTTTGAAAAATTAACATGGATTTATAAAATTTTACATAATTTTTTGGTACCAACTCTAAATATGTATAATAAACAACTGAGGCGTGATCCAAAAAATCCCTGACATGTCAGGGATTTTTTGGATCACCCCTGCAGGGTTTTGTTGTAGAAGCTATTAAATTTCATTTGCTTTTGGTTTCAAACCATTTCCTTTTGCACTGTGTTATTATAATACAATACTTTATAGCTATATAAGCGAGAATAAAATTATTTTTAAAAATTCGTTAAGCGTTATACGAGCCCTAACCACATAATGTTCGGACACTTCATAATTTATACAGAAATTTTTTTCGTGAATACTATCTCAAAATTATTAGAAGTTATGAAAAATTCAGCTTATTTTGGCATATACCCCTCGAAGCGATTTTTATTTTTAAAAAGTTTACCTTTTATTTTTAGCTTTTAAAAAAAGGCTAACTTTTTAACTTTTTTTTGTATGAGTAAAAAAAGTTATAAATGGACCCATTAAAAAGAGCATAAAATATTATACAAACCCTGAAAATTTGGTAAAAAATAAATAAGTTATAAAAAAGTATAAGTAATTTAAAAATGCTATTTTTAAAGAGTTTTTGCAATTTTCTTAGGAAACGGGAGATTTTGCAGATATATATATCGCTATAACTTTCTTATTATTTATACAATTTTTACCAAATTTTCAGGGTTTGTATAATATTTTATGTTCTTTTTAATGGGCCCATTTATAACTTTTTTTACTCATGCAAAAAAAAGTTAAAAAGTTAGCCTTTTTTTAAAAGCTAAAAATAAAAGGTAAACTTTTTAAAAATAAAAATCGCTTCGAGGGGTATATGCCAAAATAAGCTGAATTTTTCATAACTTCTAATAATTTTGAGATAGTATTCACGAAAAAAATTTCTGTATAAATTATGAAGTGTCCGAACATTATGTGGTTAGGGCTCGTAATACCGCCCTGTTCCCAAAATATTAAAAAAACCGAAACATGTTGAAAAAAACTGTGTCTTGTTTATAGTAATAAGAGAGCCTATATTGCTAAATAGCAACTTTTTTGCTACCTCATGACTTTTTAGCGACTCTAATAAAACATATTTGTTGCCATTGTTACATTTTAACACCTCACGCCATTTTTATACAATCATTGCGGTGCAAATAAGAGTGCCTATATTGCTAAGTGGCAACTTTTTTGCGAACTCGCGACTTTTTGGCGACTCTAATAAAACAATAAAATGTTATTAGTACTGACACTTTTTGGCAACTCTAATAAAACATATTTGTTGCCATTCATACATTTTAATACCAAAGGCGATTTTTATACGGTCATTGCCGAGCAAATAAAAGTGCCTATATTGCTAACTGGCAACTTTTTTGCTAAGTCGCGACTTTTTGGCGACTCTAATAAAACAGTTAAATGTTACTAGTACTGACACTTGTGAGGTCTGAAGCACTGTTGTTAAAATTGGTAGATTCCTGCTTTATGTTTATAAACATAATTTATAAATTATCCGTTTTATCATTGTCGAAACTGGAATCCTTATTATCACTACTGATAATTTTTTCGTAACATCTTTTTAATCTTCTGCGGAAGACGCCACTTTTTTTTTTCCACTGTGATAATTGCGACATTTTTATTTATGAAACATTGAACATACTGAACTAATGAACATTATGTACTCCACATCAGCTAATTCAACATAAATTTGTTTTATTGTAATTAGCGATATCAAAATGAAAACTATTTAGTTTTATAAGAACTTTGTTATTGCTTTTATATTGTAACCCAAATAACATATGTTATATAATATAAAGCAGTTTTATATTGATTACTAAAGAAACACTTTACTTGAAGAAACGAAATAGTTCTTATTGATACTATAATATAATTGTTTTATTAAAGCAATAAAACGCGACTATAAAATAGTTTTATAATATATTTATAAGAGTCTTAATATTATCGTCAAAATTTACTAAAAACAATTATAAAACAATTTTATTTTATAGGTTTGACTTTTGTATTAGTTTTATTGTGTTGCTCATAGAAATGTTTTTACGATAAATTTATAAAACATTTCATTTTTAACAACAGAATAGAGTTCATCACTTCTCTTATAAAATTAATTAGTATTTTGGAAGTAATAATAAAATAAGAATAAAATAAAACAGTCGCAGTGCGATGAAATTATAAAATTACTTTGCTGGTTGGGTTACGGCCTGTGTTACGAGCTGAGTCACGTTCACTTTCAAAATGGAATTGTCGCTATAAAATTGAATAATAATCGATCACCTTCAATAACTAATTACTGAACTTGCAGTGACCGCTAGTCAGTATAGCTATAGCTATATATAGGTATAACTATAGCTATAGCTAGTAAATATAGTTACTGACTATAGTCATGACTATACTTTTACTGCAGTAACTGGATAGTAACTATAGTTACTGACTAGCCAGTAACTAGATAGTAACTATAGTTAGTAACTTGTCAGTAACTGGTTAGTAAATAGCCAATAACTAGTCAGTTACCTACTAGTTAGTAACTTGTCAGTTTAAGTCGTGTTTTTCTTCACGTCCCTCGAAAATTACCGTCGATCAGTGGCATCATTTTTAATTTTGAATTTATATTAATTCAAATGATATGATTCTGGGCTCGTATACAGGGTGTCCCAAAAGTCAACGATATCCTTTGAAGGACTAATAGGTCAGCTCATGACTAATCAGTAAATCATGAACTTGGTAAAAAAATCATTAGTTTTTAAGATATTGGCATTTTTATGAATTTTGTGAAACTTGACACCTAAGATCACTTTTTCGAGCTACACAATTCTATAATCTTAGATTGTATTTTTTATATGTTGCGTAACCCTGAATAGGCCTGCTATTAATTAAAATTTAAAATTAAACTAATTGTAGATTTTGTAGCTGTGGATAACGATTTTTTACTAAGGTCATGTTGTGATTTTCTGGTTAGTCATCAGTCCTCCCAAGGATATTGTTGACTTTTGGCACACCCTGTATAGTGGATTTTTCTACCAAATTATTTGTTTACAGTCTAAAAACAATTTTGAAAAAAAACGATGTCCCCTGCCTAAATGACAATACTTTTTATTTTATGTATTTCAAACTAAAGAAAATTAAACAATTATCATTTTGGGCCTTAATTTTAGGCAGGGTTAAAGGTTTTTATTTTAATTGTTTGTTTTGTCTAAAAACAAATACATTAGATAATAACCAAGTGAAAAATAGACAACTTTTTAAAAAACATATTATAATAAACATATAATGTGTATAATATTATTATGTTGGTAAACTAAAATGTTAAAAACTATTTGTTACTTGAATTATTTGCATTGTTTTTGATAAAAAAATTAAAAAAATATGCTTAACCCTTTAATTGTCTCTGGGATAATAATTTCCCACCCCACACAAAACAGCTCGAATTACAAATGTAATTTTTAGCTTTCAAATTATGTATTTTGTAGTTAATTTTAAAATGTATCTAAGTAAGTAATTGTAAATTTGAGTTTAATGTACTCCTTACACCTACATAATATGTTTATGCATACTAAGGAGTATACAAATTTATAAATGTTATAGGTATAAAAATATGAAAAATACATAAATGTATAAACATTTATTTCGATAGTTATAGTAAATTAACTTTAAGAAAAAGTAAAATATATTCAAAAAGGTTTTTAAAATTTAAATTTGGTGGAAATTTATAAGAAAAGTTATTATTTTTTCCCTCTTATTTTTAATTTTTGCTAACAATTATTAAAAAGGCACAATTATTAAATCATTGCGTACGTCTTATCACTTATTACTAAATTTTACTTACATTGGATATCATTTTTATAGGGTTTCCGTTGTATTACAGATATGTGAAACACAAACTAATACTACTTTGCCGATACCAGACTTATTAAATAATAATATATACTCTCTTAGTTTATGCGGTTTGACCACGTCATACGAGGTGTGTTCAGAAAATAACGGGAATTGTTAAATTTCACGGGTTCGGAGGGTCCGGTTGTCATAAAATTTTCTTTATTATGTTGGTATACATGCCCCCGAAGTATGATAAAAACTTTAGCTGTTTTCATTGTTTACTTTGTCTGTGGCAGCCGCTAAGGTTAGACGTGTTTTATGAGCTCGGCGATTTTCGTTTGTTAAAAGAAATGGATCAAAGAATTTGTATCCAATTTTGCTTAAAAAATGAAATAAATTCTGTAAAATGTTAACAAAGACCTATAGCGAGTCTGCTATAAGTAAAACAAGAGTTTACAAGTGGTAAGAGTTTCCAAGATGGCCGTGAAGACGTTGAAGATGACGAACGCCCCGAACGCACAAGCACATTAACAACCGATAAAAACATGGAAAAAGTGGAAGAAATGGTTATAAACCTTTAGAGAAGTCGCTGATGATGTTGGTATATCGATTGGCTCATTCCATGAAATTTTTTCGAATGTTTTGGGTATGAAACGCGTGGCAGCAAAATTTGTTCCAAAATTGTTAAATTTTGAACAAAATTTTTGGCCAAAAACAATACTGTAATGATGCCCCAGCCTCCAGACATGCCTCTGTCTGACTTTTCCTATTCCCAAAAATAAAGAGAACCTTAAAGGGCCGTCATTTTGCAAGCATAGATGACATTAAAAGCGCATCGGTGAAAGAACTAAAGGCTATCCCAAAGATCGAGTTTTAGAAGTGTTTCGAGTATTGGAAGAAGAGCTGGCACATGTGCATATATATAATATCCAATAGGGACTATTTTGAAGGCGACAATATTAATGTAGACGAATAAATTCCCGATATTTTCTGAACACACCTCGTATATATGTATACGCGTTAAAGATATCAAATTTGTTTCCACAATTAGCTTGATTATTTTCTATGAAATAATTAACTTCATATCAACATTTTTTTGAAACATATACTTACTATACTTTTGATAGGTATACACTGCTTAAAGAAATTAGCAGGACGGATATTTAAAAGCCTGTCTTAATTTTAATAAATGACAAATCGATTTCTTTTTTCTATAATAGTATATTATGTATGAAGTTTGATAAACGCCATTTTATACACGAATTTAATTTAATGAGTGTATAGAAAAGTGTATAAACGAGGTGCATACTATACTTTTTCTACGACAAATACTTATTATTATCTTAAAATGATTTAAAAAAAAATTTGTATAGAGCGCCATCTATGAAACAATAGGGGAATCTGTGTGTCACCGTCAAATGTAACATTTTTATATTTTATAAACACAGATTATAAATCAAAATGTATTTCTTAAAAATTGACAGTTTTTCACAGTGAAAGTAAAGAAAATTTTTTATGAGGACTTTACAGTGGAGTCCGTGCCCGAATTTAAGTTATAGTTTACTGCCGGCCAAATTAAAAAGTCAGTACAATGTTTATATAAACTTTTTAAATATTGGCGTTGAGAAACTATTTAATACTTTTGTATTTTTGTATTGAGATAATAAAATAATTTTTACATTTAGTATTATTTTACAAGAAAGTTGTTGTATGACATTTGACAACTGTCAACTAACTTAAAACTCACTTCAGCCCGTGACTAAAAACCTGTTGCTAACTTCAGCCTGTGACTAAAGCGCCATAAAACCACAACTTGTCAATGTGTATTTAAAAGGTTACTTATTGTCCTAAACCACAACAATTTGTTGTGGTTTAGGCTTATTGTCATGGAAACATGTTAAACGTACGTTAAAGGGCGTTTTAAAGGTGGGAGTAGAAAAAATAATTATCTTAATATCAACATTTTTAATAAACATATTATTTATTTAGTTTTGATAAACACTGCTTAAAGAAATTAGCAGGACGCATATTTAAAAGCCTATCTTAATTTTAATAAATGACAAATCGAATTTTGTTGTTGTTTATTATCCGTTATAACGGTAATGTCCATAGACATTACTTAACGACCAGAAAGGAGAAATTTAATTCCAATTAAACAATATATCTTTAGTAGGAACTAAAGTTTAGGAACAGTGATAAAACCACTACCCAGGCTGCAATGAAAGTTCGAAAATATTCCAGGAATAATCCGTTTCATTCTAGGAATATTTATTGGGAATATTCCATAGAATGATCCTCTAAAACTTCTAAGAACCATCTAAGAACATTCCCAGTGAATATACATTAGTTTAGTTGCAATACCTCTCACCGTTGCTTACGCACGCTTGATAACTATATATACTTATAGGTTAATAATATCAGTTGGAGATGTGCGTCTGTGATGGCACAGCCATAGAAAAAGAATATGGCTAGTTATTAAGTTCCTGGGTATAAGTGGCCATAATTATATTAAGGTACATTCTCCTAACAATACTTAAGTCTTATGCATGCCGCTACATGGAATATTCTTTTTATGATCACTGGATTAACTAAAAAGCGGATATTTGATTACGCCAGGAATATTCCTGGGAATATTCTGGTACGCTTGGTCCAAGCGGCTTGGAATAATCCTGGGAATATTCCTGACATGTGCAGGGAATGGGATTGTGCTGCTATTGGAAAAGTTCAAGTAAAACCAGACTTGCAACTGTAGTAAATAACAAAACCGTACCGGCGCACAGTGGTCGGAAAAAGGGAAAAAGCTGGCCAGAATTAAAAAAATTAATGATTTTTTTTCAGAAAACAAAATAGGGTATTCCATAAAGAATCTATTTCTGCACCAACTGCCAAAAATATGTGGCTATGTTTTATCCATTTGGGCTTTGAGAAAGCGAGTAAGCCTACCGCCATACCTGAGCGAGACGTTTCGAAACGTCAAATTTTACGTTCTGTTACAAGTTCTGTAGATTTTGTTTAAAGTGCGTGATTTCTTCGACGATACATGGAGCGAGTTGCTGAAGGTAAGTATGATAAAATTTTAATACGAGGGTTATGTTATTCATGGTGATGTATTATAATAGTGACCTACCTCAAAGTGATCTATCTATTCAGAAACTTTTAGTCAACAAAAAGTAAACGAAAAACCTGTTTTTAAAAAATGCGTCGCGCAGCCCTGATATAATTTCTATCAAAATACAAAGTTAACAAGTTACTTAACATAATATTAAAAATTTGGCTGCGACCGATTTTTATTTTAAGGACGCTTACCCAGAACGCAAAATCACATTCCCTGCACATGTCAGGAATATTCCCAGGAATATTCCAAGCGTCCCAGAATATTCCCAGAAATACTCCTGGCATAATCAAATGTCCGCTTTTTGGTTAACCCAGGCATCATAAAAAGAATATTCCATGTATCTACCTGCAGAAGACTCAAGGATTGTTAGGGGAATATTCCTTGATATAATTTGGGGATTATTCCCAGCCCTTATTGCCTCTTATACCCAGGAACTTAACTTAAGTATAGCCATTATTAGTTATTATTAATTACTGAGTAGATCAGTCCCACTCTAATAATTGTTTAGCTGTGCCATCACAGACGCACATCTCCAACTGATATTATTAACCTATCGGTATATATATTTATCAAGCGTGCGTAAACAACGGTGAGGGAATGTTCTTAGATGATGCTTGGAAGTTTTAGAGGATCATTCTAGGAATATTCCCAATGAATATTCCTAGAATGAAGCGAATTATTCCTAGGCGATAGGGAATATTCCTGAAATATTTTCGAACCTTCATTGCAGTCTGGGTACAAGGTAGGTAAATATTATAATCGTCATATGATTGAAGTTATGATACGGTTGATTAAGTAGTATTATATCATTTATTAATTTTACACTTTTAACTTAATATTTAATACAAATGAAGTAATATGTTAAAGCGGTTTAATATAAAATTATATTATATTTACAATATATCTTAATTATATTTTTATATTAAAATTTATCATACGATTTAGCTGTCACTATATTTAACGTAAAATATAATAAATATTTCTAATATCATTTATTATATTTTTTTCTCCGTGTAGGTACTACTGCAATTATAGGCGCCATTATTATTGGACTAGGGCGACAAATTGTCTTAATCCGGCCCTGCCTGATGTGGAATATGCGGGTGATGTGGATGTTATAAATGAAGATTCTATTTGAGAAAATTAATTTAATTAATTTGATATTAAAAAATAATTAAAAGGTTTTTTTTACTTTGTAACCTTAAATTTGTATAACTTGACCTCCGAAAACACTAACAGTCGCTGTTGGGTACCCACGAGGAAAAAATTTCCACTAAAATTCATCCGTCGCCATGGTGATCTTTCAAAACTACACATTTTGATTGGTTAAAAATTACAGGTGTGGAATTTTCGGGGGTAATTACAAAAGTGCTTAAAAATTATCGATAATTTTGCTTGAAAGCATATTGCCTAAAAAATGCATGAGTTCTTTTTCATATATTGGAAAAAGGAAAAGGTGGAGGGCTCCTTCCTCAAAATATAAAAATGACCGAATGCATTTTTTAAAAGGCAATATGCTTCAATGCAACATTATCTGATTATTTTTAAGCACGATTGTAATTTGTTTAGATAATTGCACGAATAAACTAAATTAGTTTATTAATAGATATAATAATAATAATAATAATAATAATAATAATAATAATAATAATAATAATAATAATAATAATAGGCTTATTAACGATATGCATTTACAAATAATCTCTAGAATGCCTAATAAAATTTAAATTTAATAATATAAAAAGAATCATAATACATATTTAATGAAAAAAAAAACAATGATAATAAAATAAAATTAATAAATATCCCTAATTTCTTCCCTTTTTTAAATTTTTTTATTTAATTTAATTCGCTGAGTTAATAAACTGCTTAATCCACTGAGGTACATGTACCTGTGCGTGGCTAAAAGTAAATTTTAATACTCATAATTTAATTTAGAAAAAAAAACAATTTTATACATAAGTAATTAAAGTA